TGATATACAACGAGCATTTTACTGAATTCTTTTTTGGGTCAAAACATGAATCTTTGTTCAGTTAAATTAATCACGTGACATTACATTAAACTGAATATATCATTTAATTCATATAGTTGTCACATAAACTGGTATTTGACATCAATGATGCTGAATAATATTACTTATTTCAGCCAAAAAGGGGACATGGAGCCTAGCACAATTTTGGTTGATCCAGTAAAGTTAACTTCAAAGTGTTTCTTTTTTCTTCCTATAGATAGGTCATAGGTTTGCACAACTTACCTTTAAAAGAATTATTTTTTAAAAAACTTACTTATCTACTTATAAGTAAACTTATATAAAGATCAAAGTCAAACTTTATAATTTTAAACTCAAAATCAGACTTTAATTTAAATCACGCATTTCCTAGAATCCAAAATTACTATACTTATCTACTACTCATTTCTTTCAATTTATAATTTCAACAATCTATTATTTTTTTTCCAAACAAGCACTAAAATCTACTTGAATCAAACTCAAATTTTCCTATTATAATCACATTTTTTACCAAGAATAAACAAATCGATCTAAATTAATCTCGGTGAATTATTTTAATGCGAGTATTGTTTGAACTAAATTATTATTCAGTTTAACATGCTAAATACACTCTAAATACTAGTATAAGAACGATTTTGATATAATAGTAGTGTACAAAATAATAAATAATATTTTTACTTTTTTTTTTCTTTAATTCTTTTATTACGTATTTTAAAATTTAGTGGTAACAAAATTTAGACGGTCTCGATGTCATATCAACACCGTTATAAATCAAATAGGCACTTTTCCTTTTTCTTTTTTTGAGTTTTTTTTTTTTGCCATAAATTTGGTAAAAAACTTATGATGACAATGACTTTCTTCTATAAAAGATCATTATGGTGTTTTGGGAAGCAAACGCAAAATTTGGGAGCAATTATTACATGAGAATCCCATAATCATTATACGTATTGGATTCCCTTATTTTATGACCACGAAAGGCACATATTTAATGACGCGACTAATGATTGTCATGCTAATTTAATATAAGCATGTTTTTTTTACTTATAAGTAAAGAATTAAGTTTTTTATTCATCGAAACTAAAAATTTATATTTTCGTACGACCCTTCATAAGCTAAGCCAAACACGCGAGTTTTTGTAAGAAATGTACATTTTTTTTACCGTTGCAATATGCCCTTATTTATGTGCATGCTCACTGCAAAAATATCATTAAGACCCTGTTTGATGAACATTATTGAATGAAGAATGCATTTTAAATAGTGATTTGTTGGAAAATATATGGTTAAAAAATAAAAAAATGTTTTGGATTTGCGTCTAATATTATTTTATTGAATAATGTGTGGTTGAAACTGAGTTTTAAAAAAATATGAATCAAATGGGGTGTAACTTTATGACCTATCTATCAAGCATCTCATATATTTGGTGAAGTCAAGCATGCTCTTTCAATTTAGTTGACAATAGCATATTCATCCAACTTGTTTCAAACTCTTCAACGTTCTCCTAGTTGTGAAATGATAACAGCGAAGCGTGCTAATAATTGTCTTGATAAATTATCGTATTAAGCATTTCAAAAATTCTATTCTGAGTATGTCATGTATAATAATGATGAAAAGTACCTTAAAAAACTTGTGCAATTACTCGTCATTATAGGATCTTAGCACGAGATGACCTTCCTAGATGTACCTTCAAGCATAGCATTTATCAAATGATTGAATAACCAACCAAATTACTCTATTGTGTCGTTACTTTTAAAACTTGCAACCAAATATCATTGTGTGACCATGATTATTAACTACGGTCACTAAAACGAAAATCATTCCAAGCCTATTTATATTGTACATAGTTACGAAAAGTACTACATCACCAAAAAAGTTATACGATCCTCTCAAGTTAGAATCTACCTAAAACACCTAACTGAACTTTCTTTTTAATCTGTACCAAAAATCAAAGAAATTATGACTATTTTCCAATCAACATGTCATCAACAATTTCCTTCAATCCTTTTCTCAGAATCTCTTTCATAGTTTTCTCCGTCTCTCACTATATATCCAATACTAAATACTTTGAGGAACCCAATATCCAACTTCCATCAAACTTATTTGTTGACTTATTTGTTGAATCGCTAGAGTTATATGTGCATGCTTATGAGACTCCACAGAGCTACTAATTATCCAATTTGGAGATTATTTTTGACATAGTGGTGAAAAAAATTAGAAAATCGTACATGTGGGTTGTAAGGCATATATATAGTTATGAATTTTAGATCCAACATAATGATGATAATAAAATAAATAAGAAGAAAATAAACACTACCAAAATTTACGTGGAAACCCAATATGGGAAAAACCACGAGCATATGAGAAAAATCCACTAAAATCAATATTAATTGTGTTTACAATATCAAGATCTCAATTCTCTCAATTGAAATCTAAGCTCTCAAACTTTCAAGATACAGTTGAATAATCATGTTATCTTTTTGTTAGAGTTCTAGATGAAGAAAATGTCATTTTTCAAGTCAAACTCTTAATTCTTGATGAAATTTGATCTTCATTAATTTGGACTCTTAAACACTCAAACTCCTTAGACTTCTTTTATTCTACCAAACCCAAATAACATGGAATTTGGACCACATCTCAACAAATCTCCACTTTGAAACAAATTTCATTACAAGGAATTTAAGATATATCTCCAAGTAAACATCTTCTTCCAAACAAGTCACAATGAACTAAATCAATGACAAACACCCACTAAATTCAAGCAATCTTCAAACTTAGCAATATGAAGTGATTTTGTTATCATATCAGCATGATTATCTTTGGTATCAACCTTGCTCACTATTACCACGAGCAATCACATCAAACACATCAATGTGTTTAGTCTTCTCGTGAAACATCTGATCTTTAGTCAAGAAAATTGCACACTAACTATAAAAAAATACTGTAGACAAATGCAAATTTTCATTGATTTCACCAATCAATCATCTCAGCCACATAGCCTCCTTACATGTCTCTATAATGGCCATGTATTCTACTTTTGTTGATGACCAAGCTACTGTATTTTGCAAAGTAGCTTTCTAGCTGATAGCACAGCTTCTAAGAGTAAACACATACCATGTAAATGATCTCTTCTTATCAAGATCCCCTACATAATCTGAATCCACATACCCAATGACTCAATCTGAATTTCTACTAAAATAAAAACAAGCATTAGAAGAGCCCCTCAAGTATCTGAAGATCCACTGTACTGATTTTCAATGTTCATTGCCAGGATTTGTGATGTATCTGCTAACTGCATGTGTCAAATCAGGTCTTGTACAAACCATAGCATACATAAGCAAACCAACTGCACTAGAATAAGGAACCCGAGACATGTAATCAATGTCTTCATGTGACTGAGGACAGAAGTTAGATGATAATTTAAAGTGGGCAGCTAATGGAGTACTGACAGCCTTCGCATTCACCATATTGAATCTTTCAAGCACCTTCTCAATGTACCCCTTCTAACTCAAATACAATTTGCTAGCCGTTCTATCCCTCAAGATTTTTATACTATGAATCTTCTTTACTACACCCAAATCCTTCATATCAAACTCCTTACTGAGTTGAAACTTCAATTTTCTGACATCTGCTTTATCTTTGGCTGCTATGAGTATATAATAACAAATATGTAGTCAATCCACTATCTTCTTTCTGAAGTATACACAACTATCATAATTACATATAAAGAAATTATGAATAGTCATGAATGAATCAAACCTCTTATACCACTGCATCGGTGACTGCTTTAGTCCATACAAGGACTTCTTCAACAAGCATAAATAGTCTTCTTTTCCAGAGACTTTGAACCCCTCTGATTGTTGCATGTAGATACTCTCCTCAAGTTATCCATGTAAGAATGCTATCTTGACATCCATCTGTTCAAGTTCCAAATCATTTTTAGCCACCACTCCAAGTAAAGCTCGGATGGAACTATGCTTAACAACTAGTGAGAACACGTCTGTAAAGTCAACACTTGAAATTTGACTGTAGCCCTTTACCACCAATCCAACTTTGTATCTAGTATCTTCAATCCCTGATCTGCCCTTCTTTCCGTTTAACACCCATTTACGACGAACCACTCTTTTTCTTTAGGTCATTTTACCACGTTCTTCAAGCACTTTCTCAATGTACCCATTCTAACTCAAATACAATTTGCTAGCCTTTCTATCCCTCAAGATTTTTATACCATGAATCTTCTTTACTACACCAAAATCCTTCATATCAAACTCCTTACTGAATTGAAACTTCAATTTTCTGACATCTGCTTTATCTTTGGCTGCTATGAGTATATATAATAACAAATATGTAGTCAATCCACTATCTTCTTTTCTGAAGTATACACAACTATCATAATTACATCTAAAGAAATTATGAGTAGTCATGAATGAATCAAACCTCTTATACCACTGCATCGGTGACTGCTTTAGTCTATACAAGGACTTCTTCAACAAGCACAAATAGTCTTCTTTTCCAGAGATTTTGAACCCCTCTAATTGTTGCATGTAGATACTCTCCTCAAGTTATCCATGTAAGAATGCTATCTTGACATCCATCTGTTCAAGCTCCAAATCTTTTAGCCACCACCCCAAGTAAACCACGGATGGAACTATGCTTAACAACTGGTGAGAACACATCTGTAAAGTCAACACTTGAAATTTGACTGTAGCCCTTTACCACCAATCCAACTTTGTATCTAGTATCTTCAATCCCTGATATGCCTTCCTTTTTTTTGACCACCCATTTGCAGCAAATAACCTTTTTACTTCTAGGTAATTTCACCAAGTCCCAAGTGTTATTTTTGTTCAATGACTCCGTTTCCTCATGCATAGCAATCATCCATCTGCTAGAATCACTACAACTGACTGCCTCTGAATATATAGTAGACTCCTTAGTGGAATCAATGTCTTTAGCCACACTCAATGCATAAGCTACCAAATCTGCTTCCCATACTTCCATGGAGGTCTTTCATTAGCCATAGAATAGTATGGTGCTGGCGGTGTTGGCAAAGTAGGCAAGATATTACTATCTATTAACCTCGAACTGGACTGGTATGCAATTGACTGTTCTGCAATCTCTAATTGTTCCTCTGAACCAATTTTCAACTCCATCTGAGTTGAATAATTATGCTCCTTAGTTTTATCAGAATTCCCAAAAGATGAACCACAAACCATTGCAAGTTCATCAATTACTATATCCCTACTAACAACTACATTTCTTGTCTCAGGTTACTACAATTTATAACCATTTACACTTGATTTATAACTAAGAAAAATGCAATTTCTTGACCTAGGCTCCAACTTCCCATTATCCACATGAGCATAAGCAGGACACCCAAAAATCTTCAAATCAGAATAGCAAAAAGTTTTATAAGACCATACCTCTTCTGGTGTCTTTTTATCAATGGCAACTGAGGGTGAACGATTATCATAAAACAAGATATAGTAGCAGCTTCAGCCCAAAAAGTCTTAGCAACCCAGAATTTGAAAGTATACAACGAACATTTTCATCAAAGTTCTATTCATCCATTCTGCCACACCATTCTATTGAGGAGTTCCAGGCACTGTCAAGTGTCTCAATATGTCTTCAAGCCTATAGAAGCTATTGAATTGATTTGAACAAAGTTCCAATCCATTATTTGTGCATAGACGTTTTACCTGCTTTTCAGTTTACTTTTCTACCAATGTTTTTCACTCCTCGAAGGTCCCAAACACATCAATCTTCTGTTTCAAGAAGAATACCCAAACTTTCCTAGAGAAATCATCATTCATTGTCAACAAGTAATAATTGCCTCCTTTTAATGGTACCCTAGCCGATCCCCAAATATTTGAATGGATATATTCAAGTGTTCCTTTCATGCTGTGTTTTCCTTTCGTGAATCTGACTATTTTCTATTTTTCAAAGACACAATGCTCAGAAAAATTTATTTTGCCGGTCTTCAGCCCTTCAAGAAGTCCCTTTCTACTCAACTCTATCATGTCATTCTTACTCATATGCCAAAGCCGCATATGCCAAAGTTTTGTAACTTCATCATCTGTTAAAGAAGAAGAAGAAACTGTTGCATCCCCAATAGCTATAGGACCATGCAAAATGTACAACTGCGTAGAGCTTTTATGTCCCTTCATGACAACAAGAGCACCCAAGTCACCTTCAAAATTTCACCTTTATCAATATATCTATAACCTATTGAGTCAAGTACACTCAAAGATATGAGATTCCGCTTCAATTCTAGAACATGCCTTACATCTGTAAGTGTCCTGATCGCCTCATCGAACATTCTGATTCTGACTGTACCAACGCCGATAATTTTGCAAGATGCATTATTTCACATAGTCACTGCACCTCTCGAAACTCCTTCATATGTTGAAAATCAATCCCTATGACACGTATAAAAAGTATACAAGCCAAGTTTAGAACACATTCCTCACAATGTTTGGAATCCATGTCAAAAATCACAAGAAGCTCTCATTCACTTTACCCATATTCTAGAGCAGGTTGCTTTCCTTTTTCAGTTGCACCAGCAACTTTATTTCTATTTTTCAAGGCATAACAATCAGCTTTAATATGCACCTTCTTCTTACAATAGGACATGTCTTTCTCAACATGTCTAGATTTTGGTATGCCCCTCATATTTCTGTCAAAATTCCTATATTGATTCCTCCTACGCACAATTGAACCTTCAGCATGATTCTCAGATTCTCCAACAAGATGCCTCATTTTCTACTTAGATAGTAAAAAATCATAGATCTCTTTCAGGGTGAGAGTATCCCGACAATAAAGAATAGTATCTCTAAAAGTCACATATGATGGCGACAGAGAACACAACAACATCAACGCCAAGTCCTCCTCGTCATACATAACTTCTAATGTCTCCAAATCAACCACGATTTCTTTGAACATAGTTAAGTAATCATCCAATGACACACCTTCAGACATCCGTTGAAAATACAAGCGTTGGTTCAAGTGTAGCTTGTTGGTCAAGCTCTTTATCATGCAAAATTGCTCCAACTTCAACCACAACGCAGCAATACTACTCTCTTTTAGAACATCCTGAAGAATTTGATTTGAAAGATATAGATGAATTTGTGATTGGGTTTTTCGATCCCTACGCTGCTTTTTTTTTCATCCAACGTTCAGGTAGCAATTTTCCTATCAAAGTCAAGCAATGCTTCCTCCAAATCCATATGCGCTAAAACCCCTCACATCTTCACTTGCCATAAGATAAATCTTGTGTTTCTATCCAACAGCGGAATATCATATTTCATTATCGTCATGCGGAACAATCAACCTCACTCTGATACCACATGTTATGAATTTTTCTCCTTTATATAAAACGAATTGTTTCCTAACAAGTTCAGACTCTTATTTTTAAACTTTCTAGCACTAAATAATGATTTCTTGTACGTGTGTTGTAAAATTCATATGCAACTTTAATTGTTTCAAATTCTTAATCAACTTTAGGTTTGTATTCTTATGCAACTTAAAGTGTAAATGTTTGAACTTTAATTTGAAGTCTCTTTCTTTCATGCTAAACAGGATTACACACGTTGACCTTTAAACCAAAAATAATTTAGCTTCTTACTATTAGCATATTTGTGTTTGAGCCCCCATTAAAAGGTAAATAATGTATTTTAAAATAATAGATTAATGGAAAATGTATGATTAAAAATAAGGAAAAAATTTGTGTTTGCGTGTAATATTATTTTATTAAAAATGTATAGTGGAAAAAAAGATAGAGAAAAATGTATTTTGAAAAAAATCGGATCAAACAAACATCAATGTTTTTTTAAAGTTTGTCGAAAGCTCTACCTAAAAATTCCCAATTTCAAGAGGGTATATAAAAAATAGTAAAAACTGACACAAGTTTAATTTTTACAATAATGCTAAATGTACATTCTTTGGTTGACCTTATTTTTTATATTGCCTTCGTTTTTTGAAATTTGTGGACAGGAAAAGTGTTTTTGTTTTTAAATTGTGTAATGGTATTTTGCCATGTGGCACAATATAAAGAAAGATAGAAAAGATGATGTACATGTAACATAATTGTAATTTCTATTTTTCATTTGTTCTCATATTTTGATACTTGTTATAAAGATTTTATAACCTTTTTCTCAAAGAAAAAATTACAAAATAAATGCTACGTATAGGGTATATTTAAACTTTTTTTAAAAAAAATTGCATTTTATGTATTATGTTTTATCAAAGAGTAACAAAAAACCCTTTTTGTGCTGAAAATAATAGAAAAAAAATTATAAATATACCATTATAAATAGTTGAAGGGACAATTATTCCCCTTATTAAAAATAACAAATTGCATCCTACGTATGGTGTAACGTTATACATACCATTTAGCTACTTATATCATTTTCAAAATTTTAATTATTAGAAGCCATGTTTTTTATTTAAGTTTTTTGTTGTGGATTGTGCTTTCTTTCCTTTCCTTTTTTTTTTTCACCGATGAAGCTTGATTGAAGAAAATGCAAATATAAACATTTTTATAAAAATATACAATCCTGTGCGTAAAATGGGGGGAAAAAAAGCATGTAATTAATTTAATTAAGAGATTTGAACATAAGTTAATTTATGGAGAAGATAATTAAAGTATGACAAAAAAATTATTGTTTTGAATTAGAAAGAAATAGTATTTAAGTTTTTTAAAACGTATGTAAAGTGTTAATTATTGTAATATACTTTTGTAATTTTTTATTTTCACAAAAGCACATTATTTTTCACAGAATAAAAATTCAATTCCAAATTCCAATAGAAACAAGAACTAAATTGTTCGTTTCTTTTTCTCTCCCACTTTGAATTTCGAAGTGATAGTTGAAAATTATACGTTTTATTATTATTTTTTGCATAATTTAATTTATTTTTTTCACTTTTGTTAAATGTATAAATAATTTGAGTTTATATTTGTGAGCTCGAAATCCATTAAAATTTAAGGAGGCATGCTGAAATTCTGAAAGAGTTTAACATTTGATAGTCTAAGAATGACTAAGCAAGAGGGGGTGAATTTGTTTTTAAATTTTTTTCGAATAATTAATCTAAATTCAAGCAAGTATAAACTTAATAAATTAATTCAAATAATAAATACAAATATAAAAGCGATAAGTAAAATGGAGAGATTATACAAACAATATAATTGTGGAGGTACAATCCAATCATTTACAACGCTTCCGGTGACTTAGAAACAAGGAACATCAATCCTTATACGATATTGAATTTTATAGGATCTCAACATGACCCACTATTGAGCTTTCACGGGATCTCAATATAACCCACACAGTGACTTACAACAAAGAGTGCAGATCCTTATACAATGTTGATCTTTAAGTAACTTCAACATAACCCACATTTTATCAAAGTGATTTTACAATGATATACCTCTCTTGATAAATAATACAAATAAATTAAGTACTAAGAGAATCTAACACTTCAATGAATAGTAATAAATGATAGCTCAAGTGTTAGATGAAAAACTTTGATGAATATGATAGTCAAAAATTAGATTCAATCAATCAAAGTGTTTCAATGAGAAGATGAAGAAATAAATACAATGTAGGTTCCAAAATCTTCTCAAGAAACATTGATGAATATGATAATAAAAAATTAAATTCAATCAATCAAATTATTTCAATGAAAAAATGAAGAAGAAATAAACGCAATGTAAGTTTAAAATCTTCTCAAAACATCTGTCTCTTTTGATGAATGATTGTAATAATTTAATTACTAAGAGAGAAACGAGAAACTTTGATGAATATGATGATTTTACAAGTTTGATTCAATTCATCAAAGTTTTCAATATGAAGAAGTAGAAAAAATTATGCAATGTAACTGTAAAGATCTTCTTCAAAAATATATCTCTCTTTTAAGATTGATATAAATAAGTTTAGTATAAAGAAAAATGCAGAACTTTGATGAAAGAAATGATTTAAGAAGTTTGATTCGACCATCAAAATTATTTTAATGAAAAAATAAATGAAATGAATGTAAAAATGTAAGTTCAAAAAAGATTTTTTTTTTTTTTACAAATATATTTCACAAGAAAGCTCTATTCTCCTTGTGTTATGAATGCAAAATAAAATGATATTTATAGCAATCAAAACGTTAAAATTTCTACCAACCGGATGTCCGCCACTAAATTGGACGATTAAACTAGCCGTTGTGCGTCAGAAATCATAACGATTAAAAGTTTGACCTTTGGATGAACGTTCGTTCGTTGACTTTGACTTTTTTTTTTTTTTTGAAAAAATGTGGGCTTTTAAAGAACATTTTCAATTTATCTTTCAAGGTAAATAACATTGTAAAAATTTTAACATCTTACCTTTTTTAAAAATAAATTTTTATGCAAGCACTTTTATGAAATAAATTTTTTCGTGTATAAAACGATTTTTGGAACTTTTATCATTCATTGCAAAATATTGAAGTATTAGTAACTTTATATTTGAATTAAGAAATCTAATTTTTTATCTTACTTTGAAATTTACCTCTTAGACTTCTTGTCCTGATCCTTCTTTCATGTTGTTTCTTATACTCATGATCTTACTTTTCTTGACGTTTGTCTTTTAAACTCCCGTCTCGAATGATTTGACTTAAATGCTTAACTTTCACTTTGATCTTCATTTCGAGTCCGATTTATAATGTGTTGATTTTGACAATATTTAATTAATTTTAATGTAGAACTATCATCACTAAAAATCAATTGTTAAAAAGAATATTAATCTTTTTTGTTATGATCAAAACATTAATGATGAGATCAACCACAGGTCAACATTTTTCTCTTTTTGATTATGACAAATAAGATAATTTGTAAGATAAGATTGAACAATTGATATCATATTAATAAAAGAACATACATTATAAATTTTGAATGTAATCTATATATTCCCCATATCGTTTAACAAACCAATAACCATTCATTTTAAAACTTATATTTATCAAGGCAAGTATCACATTCTCATCAAACATATCATCTCATATTTTTTCTCCCTTTAGTCATAAGCAAAAAGGTGGCATATATGAGATAAAGAGTATAGTATATATAATCAAAATTTTAAATCAATCATAGAAAATAGTAATATATTCCCCCTCAATTAAGTACAAGGTGCCAAATATATAGAAGTTTAAATAAGAAGATAATCATCATATTTATAGTAAAACAATAAACAACGCATGAGTGATGAAGTGACAAAAGTATGATCATATGGGTAAATTTTATATAGATTCCAACCAATTATGCACATAGAAATATACGATAATATTTAATATGAATTCAATTTAGTAACATACTTCAAATTCATCGATAACTTCCAAACCTCTTAGAATATATGAAATTCTATCAAGTGTTATTGGTTTAATGAAAATATCATCTAATTGATTTTCCTTATTCACAAATTCTAATGCAATATCTCAATTTTGGGTACTTTTAGAATATCGTAGACGTAATGTCTTAATACTACAAAGATATCTAAAATTCGTTTTATGGCTCTAAAATGTGATTCTTGAGTATTAGATTGAAATATAGCACATAATCACACACTAAATATAATATCGAGTTTACTGCGATTAAATAAAGGAGATATCCGATCATACCTCAATATTTTTTTTATGTTTATGGAAGTACCTTGATCATCTAGTTTGATTGATGAGTTCATTGGAGTGTCGATATTTTCTTATGTTTATGGAAGTACCATGATCATCTTTGTCTAATGTGATTG